GCAAGAGAGAGGAATGAAAAAAATCTTTTTTTATTCATTAGATGTATTTTTCTTTCCTTTGATTGGTTCTAATGCAAACTGTTTATAAATATCCACAACTGGATTGGATCTTCCGATGAACACATGTGATGAAACGTTTTTCTCTCAGTACTGCTAAGTTCAAAATAACCGTAAATCAAGAGAGAAAAGCAAAACGAAAGAAAATGAAGTTTATATCGAAAAGATTGACAGAAAGATTTTATGTTTCATTTGATTCCTGTTAAAGATTAAGTACATAAATAAGTCAGTACATGAAATTAGCTAATGAATGGTAAAAAGAGTCTCAAACAAACGATTCAATCAACGAAAGATTACCATCACCATATTTTGACCTCAGAAGTATTATTGGCTTTGTTCTGAATAGTTATTTTGAATTCTTTCATAAAATGACAATTCGTATTTGATTATTTTCGTCTGAATCAGTTTCATCATCATCAGCACTATCATTATCAGCTAATCTTGAAAGCATAATCATCAATTCTTTTTTTCCGTTGCATACGTCTTTCATGAACAGCCGTATACATAAGCCATGTGTATATCGATCGAAGAAAAACGATGAAAAGAAAAAAGATCTAATGATGATTATTGTCGAACAATTCTTTTTTTCGTAAATTTCTTCCGAAAATGACAGAAAATTTTCTTTGAAAACGTTGGCATATATTCGGTTGTTCATGCTCTTTCGAATGATGTTAATTTCATTTAATTTCAACGATACAAAAGGTTCTCAACTAGTGATACGTAAAAATGACTATTCATTGATGAGCTGAATTCAGATTTCTGTTTCGATTTATATGTCTCAGACATGCACATGTATCAACGAGATCTAACGAGAAGAAGAAAATAAAGATCATTGATTTGAAATACGACTTGGATGCTTTTCTGCGTACATTTAGATTGATTTACTGGTTGATGATCTAATTGATTTTGAGATTCAATTGAATCCAAATGAGAATCTTTCAAGATATTTATTTTAATAGAATCTATTTTGTTGATCAATCTTTTATCGAACAAAAATGATAAATTTCGTTTGAAAATTCTGGAGTCCTTTTTTGGAAAAATAAATTCTCATTTCTTGAACAATCTACAAATATTTCTGTCTACTGGATTTGTAAATGTTATTATTAGGAAACGACGAGTTTTCATTTCATACGATCAATTTAAAGGTTTGTTCGTTTTGTTTGAACAAGCAGTGTTTGGTTTGCTTATCGTCTCGTTCTCTCTCTGACACATGGCGCGCGAGAAAAAAAGAACATATATATATATTGAAAAGATCTTTCTGTTCACGATAAAAGGATGAAATATCTTAGAGCGGTTGATCCTTCGATGAGTGATTATTGTCACATATCTTTTTTTTTTAGATTATTAATCTATTGATCAATCTTTGCTAAATAATCCACGATTCTTGAAAGGTAAGTAATAATTGTTTTTAACTTCATCGTTTTTTACGATCTAGTTCGTAATGCTTACATATATTGGACTTATTTCTAGTTGACAATAATGTCCACTGATCGAGAAATGGTTGATAGAGGAACTGGTGCAAGTCCTCCTTGTTCACCAACACGTGAAGTTGCTTGTTCGCCAATAAATTTTCATTCTGCAATTGAAGTATCAACATGTGAGGATTTTGAAGATGATTTAATGATCAACCAACACGTGAAGATGAGAAAAGACCATGTGAAGGTGATGAATAAGTATGTGCTGATGAACTGTTATTTATACATTTGTACAATTACAAATATTTATGCTTATGAAATTTCTATTTTTTAAATGGATAGCAGTCGACCAATAATTCCAATTCCATCTTCTTCAAGTAACACATCAAACAATAGTACACCGATTTTGGCATCATCTTCTTCGATGAATCCAATACCGCTAATGTCGATTGGTGAGAAATCTGTATGTTTACTGCTTTGATCTATTTTCTTTTTGTTGTAGGATTCAATAATGGTTATGGTTGTCATTCGACTAATGGTCCATCAACATTCAAAAAGAGTACAGACAAAAAGTGGCGCAAAACTCGAGAGTGGCCTGTTGATCCACCAGCTCGTTATCGTTTTAAATATTATCAACGACGAGACAGAGTCAATCGTCGACATCAACTTCATTATCACCACCCTAATCATGATTATCAATGTCATTGTCAATCATGTATTTCTGGACCTCCAACAACAACATCATCAGGTATAATGATGTATGAAATCATTCAGTATTGGCGTGAGCATCGTTTATCCCAGCTTGTCGAAATTATTGAGCTTCTATATAGATTGATTTAAAAATCAATCTTTTTGGTTTTTCCTGAAGCATTAGTGTACATAATAGCTATTTAAAAACCTTTTTCAACGTGCTAAATAGTTAAGTTTGAAATAAATCATTCGCTATTACTTTTCTTTTGCTTTCTTCATTATTTGATTGTGACAGAGGGAAAACCTAATACTAATATGTGTTGTATTTATTATCTAGTTCAATATCGCCATGAACACAATCAAATCAACCATAATGATCAAATCTGTTGTGTCTATCGAGATTATTGTTGATTGTAATAAATGTATTAACCATGCCATACTCATTTGTATGTTTTACTCAAAAAGAAGAAATAAAGAAGATTATTTTCTATTCATATTAGATGAAAAAATTCTTTCGATTATCTGAATGAATGAATATTTTTATACTTGTAGATGAATCTTCGTCAACAAAATTTTCCACCAAAATATTGGCTTCACTTACATAACCATACGTTGTATCCGTTACCATCATTACCACCAAAAACAACTCGACCTCTTTCTAAAATTAAAATTAACAAGTATCTTGTTTCCCTTGCACCACATGTTCAAAAGTTTATTTATAAAGGCGCTATAGATAAGAAAAAAGGCGAAATCAGATCGACCAAATTTCCTTTGAGTCGAGATCAATTCATCAGTTTACAACATCTTGGTGTAACAAATAAATATCAACAGGTCGATTTGGTTGAACAAGAACTACAGCTGGTGTTGAATTTTGAATTTAAAGGTTATTATCGTGGTGTAAAAAACATTCAGGTGAAACTGCAACAACAGAAGCCCGTGATTTTTGGAAAAAGCCCAATTCTTCTACTTTTTTACACGATTTCAACAAAAAGCTCCAATTCTTCGACAATAATCATATCAACATAGATGAATATATCTTTTTTTAAATTTATATGTTATGATTTTTTCGTACATTTTTTTATACACTTCTTTGATTAAAAAATATTCGTAATGAAGAATAATCTTGTTTTTCATATTTTTTTGTCAATACAAATAAACATGATCATCATCAACCGATAATTCACTTTAGAATTATCGTATGAAGAGAAAAAGAATTCTTTTTTTTTTAATAAATAAGTTTGGATTATATTATTGTCGAATATCATCTAGTTGAGATTCATCTATTTGATGACTTTGGTGAACGATGAACGAGAGAAAAGGAAAGAGAATGAATCGCATTTAGCACGAGTGGCTAATGAGCATATATGACGCGAGACGGGTTCGAATCCTGTGCGAGGAGAATTTTTTTTTCGTTCTGTCAATGTATTTTTCCATTGATAATTGTTTAATTTTTTTTTGCTTATGGTCAGAGGTACCCTCTCGAGATCTTGACGGGGACGGGGGTAATTCATCATGCTGATTCCGAATATGCAATTTGTTTTCACCGAAAACATTTCCTTTAAAACCACTCCGGGGTGATATGCATCTCGTTGATTTCCTGTCACTGATCTCCGTGATTAAGAGAATCATCTTTATAGAGACGAAAAAGTATTCTTAACGATTATTTTTCAAGTGTTCATCTAATCTTCATTAATATTTCTCTTGCTGTATTATTGTTGTATAATGTCAACTGTGAAATCTTCCAGAAACAAGGAGCAGCTTCTGCTGTGTGGGTTTCGTTATCAGCGAGCTAATAAATCGCAATCAATTTGCCGCTGTTACAAGAATAATTACATTGGCCGTGTACGCTTTGATGGTACACAATTTGTTAAAGTAACAGATCATATACACGCACCAACTCCTGAAGAAACGATTTCAATGTAATTCAGCTCAATGATTGCGGATAGTGCAACAACATAGAACTATCCATCTCGACGTATTATTCATGAAGCTCTATTAACTATTAGTAAAGTTGATGGAACAGCTGCTCCAAATTATACATCATTACAAAGAACTATTGAACGAAAACGAAAAAAACACGACATACCATTATACCAAGACCAAAATCCTTTGAGGAAATAGTCACTTCCGACGAAATTAAAGCAACCAATGGTGGTAGTCGGTGCCTATTATACGATAATAAAGATAGTGTTCATAGAATTATTATATTATCATCTGACGATGATCTCGATCGTTTATAGACTTCTGAGCATTGGCACTGTGATGGGACGTTCAAAGTATATCTTATATTAATTTTTAATTCTAAAAAAATTCTTTCTATGCTTTACTTTTTTTCTTAATGTTAAGCTCAATTGTCGGGGAGCTCAACTGTCGGTGTACCATGTGACCGACTTCTTGATCTTTCGTAATGCAATACATTAGGATTAAATCACTCAGAGGCGCTTCATATAATCGAATGAAAGAAAGAAATATAAATTGAAAGCTGCCATACGCATTTGCTACTGATAGTTCTCATGGGAAGATCTTTTGTCCAGTATTGATAAGTCGAAAAGTGGAAGAAATCAGAATGAAGTATGCCAGAGTGATATAAAAATAACAGCATGATGTATGATGAATTGTCACCTCCATTTAAACGTTTGAATAATTTTGCCAGTTTGTTACATCATCACGAAAGAAGAATTGTTTAGTTTTGAATAGCTAGTATCTTTTTCGATAAAATGTTCTTTATTGATGCATGAATACAGAGTAAAATATTTGATTTCTATTTTCGTATCTTGGTAGTAGTTTTAATTAAGGACTTCTAGTGTCTACGTTTTAGAGGCATTGACTTTAATACAAGTATGAACCCCAAGATTATCAAAAATGTGAACTGTACAGCATGGAATCCAGTTTTATATTTACTTTATCTGTCTGATTCTAGATGAAGGTTAAGTGAATTGTTGCCCATTTACTGTGAATACATTCAAATCGTAGTGATAATTCTGTATCGCAAATACGTATACTATTTGAGATTGAAGACGAAAAGTCTAAGAATGGAAAAGAAAATTCGTTGATAATCTTTTGTTGAAATGTTATAGCTTTGAACTGTTTTCAATGTTTTTGAGATTCTTTTCTGGATAGCATTTGAATCAAACATATTGATTAATTATGTTAACAGATGATTGATGTTTTTTTCTGACGTTACTTTTATATGAATTACCGTTCGTGCATCGAGAGACGCTTAGCGGTGCGGTATCTTGTTAAGAGAAGTACCTAGAGATACAATGCATCTGACTGAGATGCTGTGATCCCTAAAGAGATGCATCTCTCGATACTTCTTGAGGGTAAATTTCGACTAAAATATTTCTCATTGAGAGAAGCTGAGAGCTGCCCACATTGGAAATATGGCGTCTCTTTTAGACTGATGCGCAGTGATACAAATATGACATATCCTTATATCTGTTTTTTTGGCATCTCGAGCGTCCCCAATATCTTGGATACGTGATAGTGCTGTGATAATCATAATTTATTTGATAGTTAGACATTAAAAGCTGGTTCACTTCTTGTCAAATAAATCAAATTTTTATATAATTTTTTCTTTTGTTTTCAGCAGCGCCTAGATGAATTTTCATATGAATGAATAGGTTTTATTAAAACTTTTATTTCAAGGTATAAAATACAATCTTTTCATCTTTTCGCCTTGATCTAGTGCGTACAATTTAGTTAGTAATGGCACTTTTGAACTGAACGTCGATTGAAAGACCGTTTTACAAATGAACTCTGGTGCCCGATGATGAAGATGATGATGATGATCGAATCGGCCGCAGAGCACCGCAATTAGATGTTGTAATTCAATATTTTGATAATATTCCAGGAGAAACGCTACTGTTCGTTCTAGTTGTAACATTTTTCTCAGTAATTTAACTGTTGCTTGTGTTCTTTCACAATTCATATGAACATTATTCTAGAAAACATCATAAAAAACCTTTAGCCCAAGATCAAATCAATGATTCAGCAAAACTACCTTTTGCAGCGACAGTCAATCATCGTCGCGAAAAGTAAGAGTTGACGTTGTTACTTCGCCGCATATGATGGCGTTCACTACAAAGTGCTTAATATTTGTATACGATGCGTTCGAATTGACTGGCATTATATTGGGTCATTCAATGATGGATCGATCACCCAGGACGAACAATCCAATACCTGGATCCAACCGGACTCGATCGGTTCCTGCAGGATTTTAAGCAAATCCTGGTTGCGGACCCACTCACGGATCCCTAGTGTTGGAATCAGATCGATTCTTGCAGGAAACAGTGAAAACCCGATAGGTTTATTCAAGATCTCGTTGGAGTCCGACTTCTAAAATTCCTATCGAATTCGGTTGTTGGATTTGGTCGGATGTTCGCCGGATTCCCACATTAGGAATCCCTTAGTAGTTTCTCAACCCGGAATCTCATGGGACTTTGTCGGCTCGTCGGATTTTTATAAGATCCAATCGGATTCATTCACCTGAATACAGATGTATTTTGAAATTCAAATCCCATTATGTCGATCTGAATTTGTTGAGGTTTAAGTGACACCTTGATGTATTTTCATTCTTTTGTCTATAAGTGGGAATAATTTGAACAAAGAATCTTTTGAAATTTAAAAAAGACTCCCTACTATCATTTGAGTAGTTTGCATTAAATGAATGATCAGCTGGTAAAAACCTGACTTCTAAACTTTGATCAATATGAAGACGCTCCATGATTGATAATACGGCGCTTCGTTCAGATATGTCGTCGATCTTATCCGACCGTTAATTCATTTTTCATCAAACTTTTTATCGAAATCTTTGACGTGCTCATCCACACGATTGAATTGTTTAGTTGGATCAAGTTTCAAATTATCAAACATTGATTGTACTGCAGGTAATACTAAAACGTTAAACATTAGAGATAAGTAATTGTTAATGTACCATTTGTCTTTACATACTATCATTTAACTTTATGTTATTTGAATATATTTTTTCTTCACTAACATCATGACTTAACATTTGAATTTGTGTATTACTGTTTACATTATCTTGGTTCTTCGAATTTAAATCATCGCATTCACCATCTGTTGTATCATTAGAAAGTGTTAATTGTGATGGATACAGTTTAGTTTTTGGTCGATTAATCTGAAAAGCAGTGAAGAAATTTGATTGCAAAAAAGTTCAAATCGAGCTTACTGAATCTTCGCTTTGAAATGGACTACATTTTTTAATTTGCTGCTTGTCTTTTTTGTTCCTTTTTTTGTTTTTGTTTTTCTTGGATTTTGGCTAGGGGTGGGCCATTAACATTAATTTTATATTAATGTTAATGTTTCTCATTAACCATTAATCTTAATGGTTAATGTTTTCTGAGAAAAACTTAATTCATTAATATTAATGTCAATGTTCTTGAATGATATTAACGGTTAACGGAAACATTCACCATTAGTATGAATAGTAATGTTTTCGTTAATATTAGGGATTATATTTTCATTAATCATTAATNTTTGTTCCTTTTTTTGTTTTTGTTTTTCTTGGATTTTGGCTAGGGGTGGGCCATTAACATTAATTTTATATTAATGTTAATGTTTCTCATTAACCATTAATATTAATGGCTAATGGAAGTCATTAATTAATGTCATTAATTAAGTTCCGTTAAAAAAAATGGTCCACCCCTAATTTTGGCATACTGTCATCAACTGTTGCTAATGATCTTCCATCTTCACTGTTTTCTACGCTTGTTTCAACAACATTTAATCTACTTGTGTTATTTGACATCAGTTTGTTCAATTCACACTGATCAAACCCGGCGGCGTAAATAGGGGGTGGGGCGAGTGGGGCGTAACACCCCCCTGCTTCCGAAAATTCATAGGAAAAAAGGGGNNNNCTGCGCTTGAAAATTTCGTTGTTTTTGCTCACCAAAACATAAAAAAAGCTTACCCCCCCCCCGGCTTCCAAAAGTTCATTTTTTAGGTCATGAAAACAGGAAAAATTAGAGTTACACCCCCTGCTCTGAGACCTGACTTACGCCCCTGATCAAACCAATAACAAGAAGTATAATTACGCTTTGGTCCACCAAAAAAGCCAAGCAGCCAAACGAAACGAATTAGTAGTCTTCCCAGGTCGACTGATCCGACATCGGATCTGATAGGAGCCTGGAAATATCCTACAATCCGATACAATTCTATTGGATTCCGGGTCGAGTAATCTATGTCGGATCCTCAGTGTCGAAATCCTATGAACTTCCGATGACATACAACGGTTTTTCCTTGGAATTCATAGGAATCCGAAACTGAGGATCCGACATCGATTCCCCGACCCGGAACCCAACGATAATTCTGTAAGATCTGACAGGATCCGATAAAATCCTATTGGGTTCTAGTCGGATCGGATGGGTTCCGATAGGTGCCTACTGTCGAAGTGCTCGACCTGGGTTGTTGTTTAACACAACTCTAATGCAAAGATGATTTATCATAGAAAAGTGTATGAAAAGTATATTATCTTTTTTGATCAAGTACGCTTCGTAATACACTTAATTTTTGTGGCGTAGACAAATCTATGCAGCGTTTTTTAGCAGAAGATAATAAAAATAATTTTCATAAGAAATCAAAGAAATTAAAAAATCATGTTGAAAAATCAATTGATCAAACATTAGATTATTCTTCGAATTATTTCGAAGAAACATCAATGAATCCATTGAATGATCAATCATCAACTTATAATATTCTTGACCAATCAATGAATGACGGAGATCCATTATCTAACTCTGATAATGAAACTCATTCACATTTATTACCAAACGATAATCAAATATCAAATACTGATCATCAATCCAAGTTAGTCGAATTTATTCATTTTAACTAAAGTATCAAGAATGAAAATATTTTTGATCCGCCATTTTCTTCAGCATTCATTTTCTACTATATTTCTTTAGGAAGACTATTTGAGACATTTTCCTCATTCACATTCTCCCTCGGACCTACGTCAACAAATCTATATTCATATTCCCATCTGCTCCTAAACTCAAACTCTATGGCAAGTATGGGGTTCAGTCAATTGAGTACACAACAAAGTACAACTGAATTTTGAGGTTAAGATATTTGAAAATGAAAATAGATTTTCACTTTTTCTAGTAGAAAGTACTATTGAATGTGGCTGAAACATTTGATGTCTCATGTGAAAGCATTCAATAACACAAACTCAACAAAAAATTGATGATCAAAAGTATATTTTCCCCAAGCTCTGTATGATAATAGTTGTAGTCCTTCATTGAACTTTGAAATTTAACTCGGGCAAGATCAAAATCAATACTTATCGATGTTGAACGAATAGTAAAAAGTTTCTTTTTATATGAAATCAATCCATCGTTTCCGAGTCTTAACTTTCGAAAAAATTTTCTCTAAATTCTAAGTTTTTGTCTCTTCGTCTATTGAACATAATTTTCTCAATGAAAAGAAATTTGAAATTTTATTTTCATTGAATTTGACAAATCTGAGAATAGATTTCATTATTAAATTTTATTCAGGGCACAACGTCAACTTGATGAAGAAGATATTCCGCCAGCTGATATGAAACTTAATGAAATACCAGTTCAGAATGATAATAATAATAAAAACAATGATGATGATAGGTTAACTATCGGTTTACAATCAAATTCAGCTGATAATTTCAGTTCTACAAAACATGAAGCATCGTTTGAAAATCATTCTATTCAAGATGAATCAACAATTGATCAAACAGAAACTTCTTCGACAGAATCAAAATCGAGTTCTGATGAGAATAATTCTTCAATTGAATACGAAAAATGAAATGAAAATCAATCGACAGCCGATAAAACAAAGAATTCTTCGACAGAATCCGAAACTGATTCAAATGATAATCTAGATAATATTATATCAGATGAACCAATGGTTGATGAAACAGAATCAAAAACAAATTTAATTGAAAATCGTTCGTCGCACGAATCTGATATCGAAGATGAAGAAGAAGATGAACAAAACATGAATGTTCTTACAGGAGAATCAACCGAATCCGATTCAAATTTGACTGAAGATTCTCACTCAGTTGAATCGGAAAAATCAAATGAAAATAATAATCAAAATGATGTTTCATTAATTGAATCTACTGTTGATGAAGCCAAAAATATTTCGAAAGAATTGGAATCGAATTCAATTGAAGAATCTCCATTTGACAATATGTAGAAACAAAATGAAGATGTTGATGAACATGATATTTCTTCAGATAAATTAATTATTGATCAAACAGGAAATATTTTAACAGAATTACAATCAAATATAAATGATAATCATTCTTTAGTTAATCTTGAAAGAACAAATGAAAGTGATAATTCTTTAGTTGACTCAACAGCCGATCAAACGAAAAATTCTTCAAGAGAATCTGAAAAAGAAAATGAAAACCCCAGTAAAAGTACAGAAATCAATACTTCATTAAAATCATGTTTATTAACTGATGTTGCCAATGAAATCGTGGAAGAGAATCAATTGAACAAGTTAACATACAAAATGGAAATCATTTTGTCGAAAAATGTTTAACTAGTCAATTAATAGATACTGACGATAGGCTTGAAATAAAATCAAACAAATTCAACAATGAATATAATGAAAAACAATCATCAGAATTCGAAGATATTCTTGGAAATAAAAGTTTACTAAAACAAGTAAAAATTAATGGAGAAAAAATAAATAAATAAACTATTTTTATTATTTAGACAATAGTTACAGGTGAATCGGATAGTCGTCCAACGCGTAGTACAATGGCAACAGTTTTACATAAATTATCAGTAATTGATAGTTTAACTTCAAATATTCATTTAATTGAAAATGTATTAAAAGAAAGATTTTTTATTAGTGAATGTGATACAATAGGAGCAATAGATATTTGTGTTCAAACGATGAATCGCGGTGAATGTGCTTTAATTAATTGTGACATTCGGCACGGCTACGGTGATATGGGTTGTCATGAAAAACAAATTCCAGCAATATCAACAAATAAATCCTATAGAATGTTAATCGAATGAAAACTACATGATTGGCAAAGTCCACCTGATATTCGGAAATGATTCATTGATGAAAGACTTTATCGGGGAGATAAAAAAAACGACATATGGGCAATTTTCATTATCGTCGTCAACATAATTCAACATCTCTTCAACGTTATAATGGTGCTCTTCGTTTCTTAAACACAGATCTTAATCCAATATTAATATCATTTGATGAAAATCAACGACTAATATTAAATGACCGTTATATACAGGTAGAAAATAATGTTGCTCAAGTTAATTTACTTTTAAAGAACTACGATGTGTGTTGAAATGCTGTTGAAAATGTTCTTAAATATGATACAGATAATGTTAAGGCTTTATTTTGACAAGGAAAAGCTTTTTCCAATTAGGATTATATGACAAAGCTATTCCACCCTTAAAAATATTAATGCAAATTCAAAAAGGAAATTCAAATGCTACTGTCGATAAAGAAAAAGTGACTGAAATGATTCAAATTTGTGAAACTAAACTAGCTCATTATGAAAAAAGTGAAAAAGAAATTTATCAACGTATGTTTAGACCAAAAACAACAACAAGTTTACCATCGAATCAACAACGTCAAACTAAAACTGCTAATCAGGTTTTTAATTATTTCATATTTAATTCAATTATTTTCTTCTTTCTTTCTCATTTTAAGATTGATAATAAAAATGCTAGTTGATGGCCATACGTTGCTTTAGGTAGTGCTGTTTTAGCTACTGTTGCTCTTGTCACATTTATCAAATATCGAAATATTTCGTGAAGATGCAAAAATCCAGTAACAACGCCTTTTTTCCTTTCGCTTTTTCTGCGCGATTTGTTTATATGTGTTTTACCTTTGAAAAGAACACACGTTTATTTGTATTCGGTTTAACAGTTTATTGTCTACACGAAACACTCATTTCTAATCAAACACTAACAAATAAAGACATTTGAACAGAAAACAAAATCATTTATTAGCCGTCACATGTATTACCAAATCATATATGAAAATAATAATAAATAATAACAAAAGAAAATATCTTAGAAAACAATTCAAAACTCACACTACAATCATCTTTATTCTAAGAAACAATTTCAATCAATTGAAAATATTTTTCTTTACTTATTAAAGACATTTTAAAATTTATTCTTTTTTACCATGTTGATACTTTTTTGTTTTTGATAGACTTTAAAGGTCACATTGATTAGAATGAAGAAAAATATTGAAAAATATGTCAAGAGCACATTTAATAAATGAGATTGTTCTTACAAAATTTCGACAGTTAAATCATGTAAATGAAAATAGTTTTCTTTAATAAAAAGCATTTTCCTATTATTTGAAAAACAAATGAGAATTTCTTCCTATTCTTATGATAGATTCTGCTCAGATTTTTGTTGAACGTAACACATAATACAGAGTTTCCAGAAAATATATTCGAGGTTCGATATAAAGAATATTTTCATATAATGATAATATTATTTTCTATTTAATGTCATTTTTTGTTACTGATGCATCTAATAACGTCATGAAAAAAATATTGTGTTACGTACTAGTTTGTTTGATTAAATAAAATTGAAAATCGTTGTTCAGTGATTTTGAATGATAGTAGTCTCAGCTGCTAAATAAGACCCTTATACATTTCTATAGGATCTTTCTAAACTGACAAATATTTGCTGATGCAGACATTCGTTTCGATGTCAAAGTTAATTTTACTCCATAACATTGATGTAAAATAAAATATATATGAACAAGAAGAATTTCTGGTATCTTCAATGCATTGATTTTTGTCGATGAAGATTAACTGAACTATTGCAATCAACAGATCACTAATCATGCTGGAGATAATACCGACCCGTCCCAACACTGATAGTATACTTTCAGCGCATCTAACTAATATATTTAATATGTTGCTCATAGAAAAACTTTTATTGAAAAAGATTACGCCACTTTTCATTAACTCAAAATTTTCCAAGCTGCGTGACGAGAAATGTTGTCTGTAGTAGACAGGACACTCTTCATTATGATGACTGTCGATTTAAATTATTGTTAATAAAGGTTTTCCATTTATGCTTGTAACTGATATCGAAGTGCAGTTGTATATTCAACACTGCATGATTAAATATTTTGTTACATTTAAATGATATGCATACAAATCCTTATGGCACTTGAAACAGCAATCCTCCCATTTATATAAGCATTTGAATAAGTCTAACCGAACTACCTTTTTTGATTTTGAGAAAGAAAAGGAATGACAGACACAACCATTAAATCGATAGCAACTGTTTTCCCGTTCAATGCCGAAGAATTGAAACGAAATTCGACACTCCGTCGACGTCAATCTATTATTCGTGAGTTTGCTCTTAACTACGTCAACACATGGTATACCTGGTATTATGCTCTACTTTGCTATTGAATCCATAAAAGGCTATTTCAGTTATCCAACACAAATATCAGTAACTATGAATATCGAAAGTATACAATATTTTCCCGCAGTTAATATTTTCAATTATTCGCCGATTGGTTTCAATACTTTTATTGTACCGTTTGTAAACTATACGAATGCTCTCAAGTTGACTAATACAAATTGCGCCAGCACCATTTCTTCCTTTCAAAGCAAATACGCTGGGGATTTCATGCTAAGTTTAATAAATAAAAATGAGCCCATGGGTCAGTTTTTCTATCCACTACAGTCCATGCCAATGCATTGTTCATACAACGGTCAAACTTGCACACTAGTGATTTTATTCCTTTCTTGTCATCGTCATTTGGCAGCTGGTATACATTCAATGCTAAGATGAAGTCAGACGGAAGTAATATTCGAAGTTATTGTTATCTTGTTGTTATTAATAACAATAACAATAACTTTATTGTTATTGTTATTAATAACAATAACTTTTTTTCGATAGTTATTTGTTATAAATAACAAATAAATAAGAAATAACTTTTTTTCCTCAAAACTCAGTTCATTGTTTATATGGGTATACCATGCGAATTGGCACTATAGAAGTCAAAAATTTGTTCTAAAGCATAAGCTCGTATAACGGATGTAATTAAAATATACAGCGAGATGAGACAAGATCTTTTTCAAAAAAAAAAGTTATTTGTTATTTATCTGTTATTTATAACAAATAACAAAAAAGTTATTGTTATCAATAACAATAACAAAAAAAGTTATTGTTATTAATAACAATAACAATAAATTCTCACCCCTAATTCGAAGCACTAGTGACAATGGAGGTATTGGTATACTTCATTTAAAACTCTATGTAAACACAGCCATCTATATCTTCCAGACGGTAACATAAATATTCGGATATTGTATGAAATGTTTGTTTTCTTTGACAGATGGTTCAGCTGGTATAGCGATCATCGTTCATGATAATACAAAATTACTGCTCGTCGAGGTACGCGGTCTTCAACTTGAACCGGGACAAAGACACAAGCTAGCTTACAAACACAGAAGATATGATTTATTGCCGTCTCCATATTCTGACTGCACAGATAAAATTTCTCTTGCCGTGAAATTGATGTTTGCTGAATATATTCAGATGCCGATTATGCTTATTCGCAATTTTTGTGCTACACGCTACGCATTCAAGCATATGTGTAAGCATCTTTTATTCATTCAAAGAGAAAATCATATTTTGTTTTTCAAAATAGGTATACTAAATGTGGATGTGTGAATTCACTACAATGGACAGCACGATCTGCTGTTTTACCTGGTACGAACCAGACTGTAGAAGCACCTCTTTGCAACAGTACAGATTCATGTTACGCGATTGCAATGACTGAGATTCTAAGCACAGATTTGCTTTGGAATCAGTTTTGCTCTGATTGCTCACAGGAATGTCCAACTACTGATTTTACTATTACACCATATTCAGTAGCAGCTCCATTCACTGTGTACTTTCCTTTTATCAAATGCTTCGTTGAAACTTCCAATGTTACATTACCTACAAACTGGTCCTCAACATGAAAATCAGAAATCCTGCATAATTATGTCTCTCTCGATGTCGTTTGTGAAACTTATCGAGTTCAAAATTATGCACAAGAAGTGTCAGCAGTCAGTAGTGTTGACCTACTTTCGAACGTTGGTGGTCAGTCAGGTTTATGGATTGGAATAAGCTTCTTATCCATAATGGAGCTCGTCGAAATGCTTTATCGTTTTATTCGATATCATTTACATGTTGTAAGAGAAAGATTTATAAAAAGAAAACAGACTACAACCATAACTATTTCACTTCTCGTTGTCTATTTATAAACTCATGAGTTAAAAGCAATGAATTACTTCGATCATGTATTAATGTTCAGCGTGAAAGATAGTATAAGGAACGTTTTATTTTCGTCTTTTCAAAGCATTCACGTAAAATCTTGTTTTTCTCCGATCGGAAAAACCATGTATTAGTAATGATCAAGTTTACTGTTTGCACTCTAGACACTCATTATTTTCTCGAGTTTTGCATATAACTACATCTTGTTTATAAATTGATTAGAATCAGCCAAAAAAATAAAATTCTTCGGTAATAACTTTACAATCTATTTTTTTAATATTATTATGAATTTTTCAATCACCTTATTTCCCCCATAAAGAAATATTTATTTTTTTTAATTACAGCAAAAAGAAAACAAAGAATAAATAGGATAATCTATCACTGTTTCACAGTTTACCTTTTAAATTCATCGAATCCGTATGGCTATGAACCTCGGGCGTATATGTAAAAAGTAGAAACACTGTCCATAAATGAAGAATTAAGGCATACAATAGAACACCAAGACGAACCGATGGATACCGTCTTAGAAACATTGTAAAACGAATTCCAAGTTTATCAAGTTCATTTGCTGCTCGTTTAACTTTTTTTGTTAGATCAACATCATAGGGTGTTTCACGTAATAATGGCATGCGATAACGAAGATTTTCATAATGTTCACTATCATCAATTGATATTGAAGTTGTTGGAAGATTTCTTGATGTTTGTTGAAAAGAATGTTTTGCTGTTATTGTATCATAATCATCTAGACGTTTTTCTAAACGTTCTAATTGCATTGTCAATGAACTTTTGTCTGTTTGTAATGTTTCAATTATACTTTGTTTATGTATTAACGATTCAGTTAAAGTTTGTAAACGTTTTTCTAATTCATCGTCTTTAACTTGATTCATGGTTTTTGCAGTGACTTGTAAACGAAGACGTTCAATTTCACGTTCACGCTCATTTGATTGTCCTTGATAGGCTTGTTTTTGTTTATGAAAATCCTCGTTTATCAATGTTGATTCTTGTTTCAGTTTACGATAGTCTTGTTCGGCTAATGATAAACGCGAACGTTCTTCTTTTAATTGTTCATTTAATCGATTGATTTGTGCTTGATATTGTTCATCAGAATTTTGAATTGTGGATTCCGCTTCTTGAAGTTCATTACGTAGTGTATGAATTGTTAATTCACGCGCTTGTAATTCTTGTTTGAATAATTCATTTTCACTTTTTAATTCTTCGTTTTGTATAGACGCCCAATTGGATGATACAGATGAATTTCCGACGAGACTAATATCGACAAGAGTTGAATCATCATTGACACCGATGATTTCAAGTTCTAGAAAAATTCAAATCAAAAGATTTGAGAATGATCAATTTCAGTTTATGTCATTTCATCGTTTTTCTAAACCTGAAATTATAATGTCTGCGTTCGATAGATTTCAATATGGCACAGACTCTAGTTATCTAATGAATCAGTGAGCTCAGATTTTCAACAAAAAAAATGAAACCCATCCGCTCTTAACTTACCATTTTGATCTCCAGTCGTTGGTGTACTACTTCGCTGTTGTATAAAATCTTTGAGTTTAGCGATTAGTTTATCTTTCATTTGTAAAATTCTTTGTGCTTTAGATTTATATTCATCCATTTCATATTCTAATTGATTAATTAGAATTTTCGCATGTTTTGTTTGTTGTTGTTGTTCATATAATTGTAAATGTTCATCATTCAAGCGTTTTTCAGTTAATTTTAATTGTTCCATTAATTGTTCATTTTCATTATTTAAACGTTCGTTTTCATTTAAAAATCTTTCTAATTCTTGTTCCAATTGTGTTTTTCGTGTTTGTAAAAATTCCAATGATAACGACGATGATTGAATATTAGATGAATCTTCTAATGTACGTGAATATTCATTTTGTAATTCTTCGTATTGAGAAATATGTCGTTTTAATGAATCATCCGATTCAGCTAAGCGACCACGAAGTAAAGCGATTTGCGAATCTTTTGCTGACAACACTTCAATGGAATCCGATTCACGCGAACGTAAATCACGTAGTAATGCATCGGATTCAGCAATCTGATGTTGATATTGAATTTGTTGACGTTTATAACTATGTAATTCACTTTCATAGTGAATTTTATCTCGTGTTAATGTTTGAATTTGAGCTTGAAGTGTCGCAATTAATTGTTTATCAGAGTTATTAGTAATAGATTCATCTACTGATGGAATATTCTAGTTAAAAGTCAAACAAAATAAAAGTTAGATATGGAATTTTATCTTACTACAACAAGTTCTTTCTTGTTATTATGTGATGAAACTAATGAAGATTCGTCACTGTGAGCACTAGATGAACTATTCGTACGTGTTTTATTGCTTGAAAATTGAATAGGAATCAATTGTTTTGTTTCGTTATGATTAATGGATGTTGAGCCATTGAGATAGCTGATAAGATCGCTTTCATCGTTTTTTTTAATACGACGGATTGGCGTTATTGCAGGTCGAGTCACAGGAATACGATTGACAATAGGCTGTTCTACTGGTAGTGATGGGGTAAACGAGGATGAATCAGGAATTAATTCAACTGAGCTTTGCTTTAATGATATTTGTGAAGGATGTTGATGAAAAGCTGCATTGGTTTGTTGATCAACTCGATTTAGAATATCTTCAGCTTGTCTCAATAACCAAGACATAGTTAGCCGGTGTGAAGGCAATGATACTTTGATATAAATTAATGGAAAAAAATGCAGATTACGTAGCACTTTGTATGACAGTCTGTCAGAAAACGAAAAAACAGAACATCATAATTGATTGATTTCACATAATAAGGACCAATAGATGAATTGACGATAGATGTCCCTTTAGTATTAGGAAGTTCGTCTTCACTATATTTATTTTTCATTTTGATGTATATACTGATTCTACTTAATACGGTTTAATAATTTTACTCTATTTTATATTCTTTATATTAACATTTAAAAAAGATATAGCATGAAAAAGAAGATTTTGTTGTAAAAAACCCTGTAAACTACGACATTGTTATAGATTTTCTGCTATGTCTGCAAGTTCAACTGGTGCTGATTTCAATGGCTGCAATTCTATTGGATTTTCACTATTTTGGCTTCCTGGTTCATGAGTTTCTGCATTGATTTTCTATAGAAATGATCGAATGAAAAAACAACAAGTGCTGAAACATATTCCTACCGCATCTTGACGTTTCATCGATTTATATTTAAAATAGCAGACGCGTCTAAATATAGTATATTTGTAAAGTCAAAAAAACTTTCTTATGCCAAATAAAAATCAAGTTTTGCCGAATAGTTACCCTAAAATGATAAAAACACCAAGTAAACTGAACATTATAACGATACAAATAATTAGATATATAAGCCAATCTAAAATCAAAAGAAACAAATATGAATATCATAGTGGAAAAAAATTAATTACTCCATGACTGTTTTGTTTGTACTCTTGTACATTGTAATTCGGTGATTGTAGTAACAGATGGATCTTGATGACATTCAAAACATAATTGATAACTTGTATTAGGTGTCAAATTGTTTATGCTGATCGTCGTTTGATTAGTTTCATAAAAAGTTCTTGAATGTTGTTCCTTAATTGCAACATTGATTCTCGAAATAAAAGTGTTGTCATGTTTTTACTTGTTTTAAACTTATTAATTTATCATCTCTTGTTAAATTTCCACGACAGAGTAAAGGCGATGAAAATGTTCCATGATTAAAATGAACTTTAAAATTAGTTGAGGAGAGATATTGAATAGTAAAATTTGGTTTTATGAAGAAACCTATTCAAAATTGTGTATTTAACGGGGAAAAAAATAAACCAAATATGCATTTTCTTACTTGGTGTCATATTCAATATATAATAAGTCGAATCAAAATATTGTAAAGTTCCATGTACAAGCATTTCTAAGTTCAATGGAAAAACACCATCTTTTTTTGGAAGCCATCGAAATGTTAATGTTTTATTGTCAATATCAATTTCGATTAATTCAGGTCGTTCATGATAGAAATTTTCTTTAGAACTAAAATAGATTCGAAAATTTATTAACCTGTTCCCTATTCGACTAATATGTAAAACACGATCTAACTACTTGTGCATATCATATGGGTTATATTTTGTAACCATTTATTTCTAAAAAAATTGCAATAAATAGATGATCCGTAGGTTAGGTATCTATCGTTGATTCAAATTTCTACCTCTAGAAAATCAAAATTTCATTTAGATCGTGTTTTACAAAACAGATTAAGAAAAAATATATCTACGAACAATTCATGATTTTCTCTAAAATCAAAATAGTGTGGATTTTGATTTTGAATCCCAGCTACCATTTCGGGCGCATAAATTTTGCAATTGATATATTTATTTTCATAAACTACGCAGCCTCCTACACGTTTAAATAAATCAGGTGGAGCTAAAAGCATACGAAAAGAAAAACATTTCATTCAAATACGCAGACCAATATTTGTACTGTGCACTTACCGATCGTGATATCTGATTGTGCACTTGCACTTTTATGAGTGATTGACGAACAAATCAAATGGAAAGCACCAATATAACCAGATGATTCAATAAGAATTTCCATAGCAGTATGATTAAGAAGATTTTTATAGACTTTTAAATTCTTAGATGATATTGCTGGTATTAAGCTAATATCAAAATCAAGATCATCTTCTTTACTTTTTGTACAGAGAAACTTCGTTGTGCTTGTTGAATTCAATATTGCAAACTTTGGATCTATTGAAAACTGAATTTTGTTTTGTATATCTTACGATTTATTCTACTTACTTAAATCGAAATTGGTGAATTCATTTGGATCAGTGCTAGTAACGAACTGGGATAATATGAATAAACAAAGAAGCACTAAAAATTCCATGGTAAATGTGTGTGGTAACTTTTGTGTAATTACTTCAAAAGAAAAAAAGAAAGAATAAAATCAATGAATTGCGTCTTTACCTAACAACAACATTAACTACCCTCATAACTATTTAAAAATTCATTACAGCAGAGAGGTGTAAAGTAAATCTCTGATATATAAATAAGCATCAAAATATTTATTTCAATGGCTGATTCATATTCAGCTTCTGTTCCAAAAGAAGAAGAAAAAAAACAGTTTTTTCCTCTAGCTGTATGAGTAACGAATAAAAACACAAAATGATCAATTCAACGCATTTGATTTACTCTTTCTTTACTTCTACTTCTATGAAAAAAAAATCTACAATAGACTACCAAATTTATGTAAAGTGCAGTAATATTTAAAATCGAGTAAATATTCATACATGCTGGTTTTAAAGAATCCGATGGCTACTGCTTGTTTTCTTCACATATTTAAAAAAAACCGTTACGCAAGTATCACTATGAGATTATATGACAAAGCAAACACTAGAAAAGCATCACATCTACTGTACACGATGTTTGTGTAACAGTTTGATTGTGCGAATAGACAGAAGACTTGAGTTGTATTTATTTGCTTCTTTCGGCGAATAAAATAAATTTCATTCAATGAGCATTACAAATGTTAACATTATTTGAGATGAAATATAATCATAGTCTGACATAGCTATTCTCAGTTATTATTGAGTTAAGAATAGATTTGTGTTCTATTTTGAGTACCAATCAAATATTTTACAAGAATGAATTTCCATCATGCTATAGTTGTGAATACGTATGAAAGATAAAAAAAACATAAAAAATTGTGTCTGGATATTCTGATCGGTTTTTTATTCAAATTTATTTTATTTAGTTTAGATTCAAATTTGTTTTTTGTTAGATTGCGTCAGTTTTTCTGACGAAATTTCTCTTGATGTTTAACAAAGTATCTTGTTTAGGTTAATGTCGTTCATTGGTGGTCACACCTAAGTATTTTGAGTTAGCATTCTATAATAAGCTCCACGTCGTTATACCAATTCTGTATGAGTACCATTCTCGATTACTTTTCCCTTGTTGAGTACACAAATCGAATCACACGAACGAATAGTTGAAAGGCGATGAGAAATAATCAGTGATGCTCGATTTTGATCTTCTGTTTGTGCTTGTTCGAGAGCTTCTCGTACAATCTATGATTGAGAAATCAACAGCAAGTTTTAGTCGATAAATAAATTTAAAAAAATGCCATAAAATTCACTTGTTCATTATGTGAATCCGTGGCACTTGTAGCTTCATCTAAGAGCAATACTTTAGGTCGACAAATCAGAACTCGAGCAATAGCAATACGTTGTTTCTCATCACCTGATAAAAAAAAACTATCTTTCATTCCAACTCTTGTGTTATAACCCTAAGATACACATAATAGAATACCAAGAAATAGATTCAGTAACTCTTCTATCTTTTAACTTGAAGTAACTGTTCAATGAAATGATGAATATTAGCTCGTTTTACTGCATTGATAATATCGTCCATTGGAACTTCTTCTATCCCATACGCTACATTTGCAGCAATTGTTAAATCAAACAAAATAGACTCTTGACTAACCAAACTGAACTGTGAACGAACCCCATGTATATTTAACGTTCGAATATCAACGTCATCAAGAAGCTAACTTGATTGAATCAACATGATAAAATTACGTAAACTACGCATTCCAGAAAATACGAACGATGTTTCCTTTTGTAGCATCATAGAATCGTTGTAATAGTTGCATAGTTGTTGATTTTCCAGATCCTGATTCGCCTAAATCGATCATATCACGTAGCTAACGAAAGACAGTGATATTTAACTTTAAACATACCAACATGAGCTACCCGGTAACCTTATCCAGTCAATCAAAATTTAAAAAAAATAAAATGATGCAAATAAAATTCATCTGACTTACTTGGCGTAATATTCAATTGAGACTTATCAAGAATAATAGATTCTGATCGAGTTGGATAGATAAATTTCACTTGATCGAATTTGATCTCTCCTCGAAAATTCGACTGCAACGATCAAATCATATTCATTGCTTGAACAGAAAAGAAAAGATAATCTTTTATGTTGTCTTACCAACTCTAGTCCAGCATCGGAATCGTTGTCAATAATTGGTTTTCGATCGAATAAATTGAAAACCGTTTCAGCAGCCGATAATGATGCAACAATACACCGAGATCTACGATAGGAACACTAGAAAAAAATAAACTAAAGCAGATATTAAAAGATATTTACAATATTCCGATGCTTCGTAATGGTTGCATCGAAAAAATAATAAATGTAAAGGTCCTAGTAAAATGAAAACAATTGGAATATCGAATCCGTATTATTAAATTGGGATTTCAATTACAATATAATACCCTGTGAGTCGAGCTCTTCGCTTTCAACTAGGCCGAGAGCACGCCAATAGACAAAAGCCATAGTGTATGTATCCATTGTCCAATAAATGTCATAGTATAAGGCAGACATTATCGAAGTTTTCTGAGGCATTCTATAAGAAAAAAGATGTCTTAAAAATCTTGGCATGTGTAAAAACTACTGAATGAACAAACAAAAAGACTTGATGATTACACTCGGAGTATTTTCTTAGTACTTCTTTTTCTATTGAAAACTGTTTTATTGTACGCATATCGTTAATAACTTCAACGGCCAGCTAAAAAAAACGCATAATGAAGACATCTTATAGTTGAAACCTATCTGGAATAATTGGAAGGAACTCGGCGACATACTAGACTGGCCATTCTAATTTTTTTGAGCACTCCAGGATTTATACCATTCTTAGCGATGCTAGAATATGTGTAGCTCAACAAAGTTGCAAAATGTTTCATTGGTTTCTTTGATCACAGTAGCAAAAGAGAAAACTAGTCTAAGAGTGATAGATCAGTGAATTCATAGTACTATTGTCATCCGTAAAAAAGATTACATAATTCATTTTATCAAACAATGTTCTCTGAAAGAAAACGTCACCAATCTTACTGTGCGTGTTTGTGCAACAATCCGAGAGCACTGTTGATTATTGAGTATACTTAAAACCACTTCTACATAAGTAAATAAGAATAGGATTATCATGGGGCCACAAATGATCAATGTTAATTGCCAACTAATGAAAGACCCGAAGAGAAATTTAAAAAAAAGATATTGCAAGCGTTTCACAGACGACTCCTAATCATGAACTAGCTATCTCGCGAATAGCTGATGCATCAGAAGCTAGACGAAAACTGATTGCACCAGAACTATTTTCAGGTCGGTCGCAATCAGCAACTTCTTGACGAAGAAGACAAGCAAAAGCTTGTGAACGCACACGTTCCGTCAGTTTCGATCCTGCTAATCCAAAAGTGGTATACTATTTATAAAATACGCAATAGTCTATTAAGAAAAACACAAAAGCACCAAAGTCACCTGACAGAGACGAAAAATCATTAAAAAAGCATCGAATATCAAAAAAACTAGACTGCCAGCAAACACATTTTGACGTCGTTCCAAATTTGTACAATATTTGAAAGCTTATAAAAAAAAGCGCCGGCATAAAATGATGTGTACCATCAATTTTTTTAAATCATGCTTATATAGCTGATTAATTTTCCTTAATTATATTGGCGAGTAAAAATGCAAATAATGGTTGAGATGTTCCACTCAGTATACATGCTATGCAACCACTCAAGATGACGATCCATTCAGGACTGTTCATCAATAACAGTCTTGGTACGAAAATCGTTCTCTGAATGATTTTGAACTTTGTTAAGTATGAAATCACCAATATTAGCTTTTAAGAATAATAGTCGAAGCATTGCTATTACTATGTCCACATCAACAATTTGAGTATCGCTAATCAAACGAGAACGTTCAGGTATTCAAGAGAAAATAAAAAGCATAATGAATTTGATTATCATTAGAATATTAATATACCAATCGCTTCTTGATTTGCTTCTCTTGCTTTTTCCATGCTAATCATATCATCTTTTTCATCATCATTTTTCTCTATTTGATGAAGTTTAACCAACGCTTGATACTTTCCTCCTTCTTTTGCCATCAATGTTTCATGTGTACCTTTTCCTATCACACTTCCCTTGTCAAGAACATATATTTGATCTGCATTTTGAATTGTCGTCAAACGATGTGCAATAACAATAGTTGTGCGAGCTGCATAGAATGACGCGTATTCATTTGAAAAGCGGAAAAAAAACAATTATTACCCCTGCATGCACGACAAGCGCTTCTTGAACAAGATTTTCGCTCACATTATCAAGGGCACTTGTTGCTTCATCCAACAAAAGAAATGCTGGCTTTTTGACAAGAGCACGACCTAGCGCAATGCGCTGTTTTTTACCGCTACTTAACTGCACACCGCGTTCACCAACAAATGTTTCCTATTTCTAAATAACATACGATTAAGCATTTATACACAGAAAAGATAAATATTATATACAAACATCTGGTAGTTGCATGATGAAATTGTGTGCATTGGCTTCTTGTACTGCGTCTTCAATTTATACTGGCGTTGCATCAAGTTTACGGAAGCGAATATTTTCACGAATACTCACACTAAACAGAATCTTTTAAAACGAAGTGAATCAAGTAGAAACAATGAATTAAAACTCGAAAAGAAAAGCTCACGGGTTCTTGACTAACAACGCCAGTATTTTCTCGAAGCTATTTCACATTGTAGTCTGTGATGGGTCGACCATCAATTGTAATTTGACCTGGCGAGGTTTCGAAGTAACGAAGAAAAAGTTGTATACATGTATTTTTTCCTATGACAAAATTGATTAAGTTAGTTGAGGATCTGCATATCACGCTATGTATCATTTTATTCTTGAAGAAGATTAACCACAACCACGTGAACCTACGAGAGCAGTTGTCTGACCAGCACGAACAGTAAGAGAGAGATTATGTAGAATTGGAGCATCTTTTCGAGACGGATAAGTGAAGTTGACTTCATGAAATTCAATATCATTATTATTATTATAACGTGGTTCTAACGCACGACGACATCAGACAGCACTTACAAGAGATGAGGAATCACCCTCATGGCTTATTATGTAACAAGCACAAAAATATTTCCTTGTTTGAATAAGAAAGCCTTACCAATTCTAACTGATAATATATTTTTTCCCGTTAAAAATTAATGCAAAACTGTTTCTCTTTAGTTTTAGGAGGCTTTCTCTTTCAAATATCCCCCTAAGCAAAGCCAAACGAAAACAATGGAGAGAGATAAGAAAGAGAAAAATCATGTGCTTCTCAAACCATTCATTTGTCTCTCAAGTTATGCCCTCACTATCTTACCGAATTGTTTCACTTGGTTTCGATTATTTCGCCTTTTAACCACACCCTGATTTATATTACCAGTTTCTTTTTCAGTTTAGATTCACATCGTTATGTACACATGCATAACATGAAGCAATCCATCTAGATGCGATACAAAATCTAGGTTTAAACGTGCATCATCTTCTTTTCTCAAAATTCATCCAGATGAGTCCGTATACTTTATAATCGCCATATTTATTTTCTAAAATCGAGCATTATCATAATTATTCAATCATTTCGATTTCATTCAATATTTTTCCATTTGTGATATCTCACTGCATCGCGAAACCGTTAAACACAATCAGCACTACTCTGAATGTGTTTGAAGAGAAAAAAGAACGAAAAGAAAAACATTCTTTTTCTCAATCTCTGAAATATTTTGGATGAAAAAAATACAGACATAATAGATGATAACAAAGAGAAATATTATTTTCTAATTAAATGTGGATCGTACTAAACGAATTGTTATATTCTAGATGAGCACGCCTCTTACTACTCCATCGATTATTATTCGTAGTTATCAAGCAGACGACTTATCTGCATGTCAAGCTTTAATCATAGATGCAAACAAGGACTACGAGAATCCTATCGAATATTATAATCTAGCTTTTCAGACGGATATGGCAGATATTGAGAAAAGTTATCTCCAAGTCCCAAATGCTCATTGGTGGGTTGCTGTTTCAACAGAAGATAACCGTATCGTCGGTCAAGTAGCATTGCAGCCTCTACATCTTGGAGATCCATCGTACTACAATTGTTCACCGTTAGAAGAACGCGATCAAATCTGTGAGTTGCGACGAATGACTGTACATCCAACAGTTCAAAGACTTGGTATTGGTTCTCGTCTATTAGAAACTCTGTTGAGCTTTGCTAGGGAGCATGGTTATCGTCAAGTACATTTAACAACATTAACTAACATGAGCAAAGCCTGTTCATACTATGAAAAGTTGGGATTTACGAAAGGTGATGTGCATTGGTATCCATTAACGGATATGAGCACCACACGAATGTTGAATAGTAAAGATCATATTGGAGAAATTCTTCCAGCACCAACTATCTTCAAATCAGGAAATTCCATCCCCGTAGAAGATCAGGAGCGAATGAAATTACCACCAACAAAAACGAAATACATTTATGTGCAACATTTTTTTCTAACACTGTGAACAGAATCTGACAGAGTGTTTCATATTCTGATTTGTATGTGACTTTGAAATAAAATATAAATAAGGATTTAATCAATCTATTTATTGGGATAATGAAATTATTGAGAATTTGGTGATAAAGAAAATGAACAGTGGGTATATCGATGAGCCATGTTATATTCGAGTAGATATTCATTACTTCTGGATTTAACTTTGAAAAGAAAGCAACCTTGTACAATGTTGATTCATGTAAAAGCATTATAGAGCAAGCAATAAACTGTAAAACTATAAAGAATCTCAAGTAGATAATAGCGAATGCGAGAATGATGCTATGAGTACTGATATGTTAGTTTGTTTGATTCGGTATGCTGTTTACAGGTACCATAGCTAACTGACTATGTACACATAAGTGTATATAGCCAAATGGCTATACATACGTAGATAGGTATAATCAACATAATATATATGAAGTCATTATTATCTTATGTATATTTACTTATCAATGGAAACTAAATATTTTATTTTTTCTAATAACTTTATTTTATTAATTATTTATTACACACAAGTATAAATTAACTAGTACACTTACACAACAACAGAAAAAATTAATTCAAATAAAAATCAACTAATTTAGAATCATATCTGGTGCTTCCTCTCTTCAATTTTGAAGGAAATGCTTGAATTTCATCATTTTCAATGCATTTAACATAATGATCACGTCAAGATAATTTCAGTTCAGGTTTTATTTTGAAATAAAATTGAAAACCTAATCGAGCTGATTCTTGATGTGGTCTTGATCCATTTTATATGTGTCTTCTAATAGGACCACTATGATGACATACGTGCATGATACGTCGGTATCGAGAGCGATCAAATAACTCTTTCATTAATTTTTCATTCTATTTCATTGAAGTACGTTTAATATTCACTGATTGATAATAAGTAATGCACTAATTTTCAAATGCCTTTTCGAAGCCTTCCCAATTATCAAATTCTCTTGTAAAGAAAAAATCTTTATCTTGTTCCATTTTCTAGTTAAATAATTCTGATAAACGCGAATTAATAGTTATGTGCGAGTATAATAGAAAAATACAGTCTGTAATAGACGTTGAGAATGAGTATGATAGATCATTCAACCGTATAAGAGTAGTTACTTAGTAATATAAATGAGCTTATATTAAATTTGCCCATCTGAGTATAAAAATTATCCAGTCAATTAATAAACTCAATAGGAAAAAGATTAAGGTGACCCTAGTCAACTCCCTAGAAGAATCCCCAGGGAGTCCCCAGGGATTTCGTTCTTTTGCGGGGACTCCCTCCCTACGGACTCCCCGGGGAGTTATCTGGTCAAAATCGATGAAATAACTAATTACTATTAAATTCTTCTTAATTTTTTAAAAATTAAAAAAATTAAAAAGTTTTTTTTATTTTAAAAAATTTCATCAATTCTCCCCAGAAAAATCCCCGGGGAGTCCTCCAAATAGAAAGTCCCCGGGGACTCACGACAGGGACTCCCCAGGGATTTCGTTATTTTACGGGGACTCCCCAGGGAGTCGTTGTGGGAGAGTCGATTAGTGGAGGACTAATCAATTTATCTTAATGAAGGTTATGTTCTCATATTGCAACATATTTGACTTTTTATGTTTTCAATTTCCCATTTTAAATTAATTAAGCTTAGAAGAGAAAATTCAATTTTTCGTTGTATCATTGACTGTCAGAAAAATGATACATTCAAGAGAGAAGGTAAGTGCTGACACCAGACAATTTTCATTTATCACATTGAAAATAATGAAATTCAAGCATTTCCTTCAAAATTGAAGAGAGGAAGCACCAGATATGATTCTAAATTAGTTGATCTTTATTTGAATTAATTTTTTCTGTTGTTGTGTAATTGTGCGAGTTAATTTATACTTGTGTGTAATAAATAATTAATAAAATAAAGTTATTAGAAAAATAAAATATTTAGTTTCCATTGATAAGTAAATATACATACGATGATAATGATTTCAAATATATTATGCTGATTATATCTATCTATGTATGTATCAGGGTTGCCAGCCGTACCCCATTTGAGCCTTTTGTACCTCAAAAAAAAATTGTACCTCTGAGGTACACATTTTGTACCCCATCTGCATTTTTTAATGTTACGACTACTATCGTCCATATTTTGGTTGAAATTAAGAAAATTTCTGCCTCTTTATCCGACATTTACTATTGATAAAGATGTGAAGCGTCATTTATATTGGTTGGCTGCTAATGGTCCTGTTTATGAAGAATTCAACAATGATATATGCAACGAGTCCCATGATGAAGATAATCTCATTCACAAACGGACGACTGAAAATCATGAAAGAGAAGTGTAGTTTCTATCTGATCAATTTTGGGCTTTTCTTCTTGTAAAGTCGAAAGCAATGTGTATTGAAATGTACAAAATTATTTCTTATGTGTACTCAATTCCTGGCTCTAATGCGTTTGTTGAAGGCGTTTTTAGTCAAAGAAAAACCGCATGGACAGCCAGTCGCAATTTGACAGTGAATGAAACGAAAGCTGCTGAATTGAAAATCAGATTTAATAGTACTATGACATGTGAAGGTTTTTCTCTTTTACTCAAGCACAACCGCAACTGATAAAGTGTGCCAAAAGTCAACAAACATGCAGTTTCGAAAAAAAGCGTGCAACCCCAGTGAAAAATATTACTAAAAAAGAACGGTGAAGAATGCGTTCCAAAAGAACTGAAGCTCTTTTTTTAAGAAAAGAAAACTTTTCACAATTAATGGAAACCGTTCTCAAATGGAACGCACTAGAACGCATTTTATCATTCTAAGAAGGTGTTCTTGGTCGTTTCGAAATGGAACAGTGAAGAACGCATTCTGCCACTTGTGGAACGCTTTCT